TTCAACACCGACGCCACGGGTGGCGTGGTTCGATAACTCATTGCCCTTCTTTCTGGGTCACACGTCTGTTTGCTGCTGCTGCTCGCTTCCTCTTTTACAGGCACACACACACATCACCTGGGCATTTAGAAGCCCTAGGACCCTGGTGTGAAGCTAACCAAAATCATCCACTGTATTTCGTTGCAGAAACGTCTTTTGATGACTCTTACCGGAGGGTACTCTCCTCAGCCCTTCAAGCGGGCCGCTCTCCTTGCGCGATGGCTCAATCAACTACATTTGGGCATTGGATACCGAGCAACAATACAGAATTGCTTGGGGCTTGCACACACATTCGAGGATACAACAAAAGGCGACGCAATGTGAAAAAGAGCATCTGCGCGGATCAATAAGCCCCATGGGTACATTAGGCTGAAGGCATGCAGACGAGAAACTCTGGGGACGTGCGCAAACCATTCCAGCTGGTACGCGCAACAGGCATGAAGGAACATTGGGGAGCGATACAATCTGTGAGAAAAACGGCTCTCTAAAAAAGAACGCTTGTATTGTTAACAACTCAACTGGCTCAACTAACTTCCTGAACCTCATCGGGAAGCTGAACAGTGGACTTAAGGTACCTTTTCGCCCTCAGGCTTCACCGAGCTGCTGATCTTAACAAAATCCCACCAGCTCTTTTTAAAGATGTGGGTTGAATGCTCAGTCATTGTCCGGAGGCTAGCCGCCCCTAATAACCGAACCCACAATGTCAATTTCGGTAGAAGAACTCTAAGCAATTTTACAGCAGCAACAAAAGCAGTTCGGAGAAGCTTAAATGATGCTTGTTTAACCTCTGATGCGCAGTATGTCCGTGAATGCGACAAAAAACATTCGGGCCTCTATCTTCTTCCACAGATGCTGCTGCCAGCTGCATTACTGAATTTAATTTCGACGATGAATCTGGGAGAACTTTCGAAAGATGGTTCAAGAAATATAAGGACTTGTTTGAAACCGACTCTGCCCAGTTAAATGATGCATGGAAAGTTCGACTGTTGCTGGGGTTCCCCAAACTGACCTTGGTTTTGCAAATAATGTCAAGATCCCGGCCCATATATTAGGTGAGCAAAATTCCTTGCCCAATATTCGCTTTCAGTGTTTCAAGATTACATAGTGGGATCCCGAAGATTTCATCACTTATGCCGGTGTGGTCAACACAGAATGCGAACGTTCTCAGCCCAGCTCCGTGAGCGATGGTCAATTCAAGTGTCATCTTCGTGGCTGGTCTCCAACCGCCACATGATGTAGACATTCGGACCAGGCTGCTCAATCGAATTGAAGAGGAACCAGAGTTGACTCTTCATAAACTTACCACCGAATGTTATTATCAATCTCAAGGCTGACGCTGAAATGATTGGACACTCCAAATTCCCTTAGCCTGACATGGTATGCAAAGTAACTTCCAAAAAGTAATCAAATTCAAAACGACCTCCAAGAAAACCGCCCACACCCTATTGGTTTTATGCGGAATGGCATTTTTCACGCCACTCTCCCTACAGGTGTAGCAATTGTGGTTGAAAGGTCACAAAGAATACTACAGAGACAACTACAGGAGCGTGCGCAAACGCTGATCCAATAAAAAGGACGCTGGCAGGGTCCACGACCACTACATTCAGGATGAAATCACCCGGTCGGCGTAAATTCGTCACAGTATGTATCAACGGCACACCAGTTGCACTACAACTTGATGTAGGTTCTGACCTCACTCTGATTTCAAGATGAACCTGGAATGTAATTGGAAGGTCACCGGTGGGACACAAAGTGCACCGTTCGTAATGCATCTAAATTGAGCCGTTCAGTTGTAGTACCCCTTCGGTACCTAGCTGCTATGCAACCCGAAGGGAGCACGAGGGCTGGGATACTGCCAGGTTGCCCAAGTATAGACAGGTGAATTCGAGAGGTGGATGTCGGTTTCGAACCACGGATCTTCTTGTCAGCAAATTCGCGCTCTAACCACCGAGCCATCTCGCCCCAATGCATCTGGTGGAAGCCTCAAACTGACCTGGAAGCTGAACTGTTCCGTGACGTCCAAGGGGACTTAACTCAACGGTACTTGCCACCTCATGAACTATACAGGCCTGTGCTGGATTATAGAGCTTCAATTCTTGGATCAAACCCTAAATGTCATTTGTAACGAAACAGCTGCAGATGGCTCCAATACATTCAAGAAAACACCACATCCTGACAGTTTTGTGGTCGCCGGAGTTACAGCCGAATCGGAGACCAGGAGCATACGCGACATACAAACCATTCAGCTCCTGGCGTCCGGCACCGGTAGCCCTCGCTCTTCAGTCCACTTTGGTGAATCTTGCCAACAGCCTGCAACGTTTTACCCGCTGTCCGAACCGTTCAGTTTACAGTCCCAGGTTCACGTGGATAATTCCACTGCTATCCATGCAGCCAAGAAAGCTTGTTCGGCAGAGGGGACGCCAAAACTGTTCCACAGAAATCAGATACTGATTCCAGGATATGGAGAATGCTTCACCATGGACGCAAGGTTGAATACTAAGTAGAACACGAGGTACAAATAAGAACACAGGTACGGCCAGGCCAGGCGAACTAACTTCAGACAACAGAGTGAAGATCCGTAAGCGAACCACGTCGCACGGGACACATGACAGCCGTCATATACCTCCTAAACGGCATGCTCACAGCCTAAGTGTTATTTCTGCGCGTATGTAAGTCTCCAAACTCACTGTGTGGACGTCCTCTGAATAGCAGCCAGGTGGGGCTGAAAAAAGGAGAGTGCGGCGTGTTAGTTGGATGTATCGGTAAGTCAGTAACTCTCGCCTCAACTGTTCACAGAGAAGCACAAGAACGTAGGTTTAACAGTTTATTCTCCGATCCACAGAGCACGTGGGGTGGAGGGTTGACAACAACAGAATGCGGGGGTACAAGCATATAAACATACAAAAGGTGTTAGCCATTGAGAAGGGCAATCGATCTCCTCTGGACAGTATTCAGGAGTGGTTTAGCATCGTTACCGCCGCCGCTTCTCAAACTAGACAGAAGAGATTGTAATTAACAGTGGCGCGCAGTTTGACACCTGTCGGCATATTACACAAGCCCCCCTATCAGCAAGGCGCCCTCCACAGCGCTGTCAGATATCATGTTTGCCGACTGGAGACAGTTGACATGCACTACGGTTGACCAGCTAGGCTTTCCAGGGGTGCACAAGACGGTAGGTTGAGTCAATGAGGGCGGCAGACGACGATATATATGCATAGGTCAAAATAGGCGTGGAACATAGGCAGTCAAGGAGCTCTTTGAATGCTTTGGCCTGTGATTAGAGCGCGAATTTACTGACCGGAAGGTCCACGTTTCGGACCCGACCTCCGCCTCTAGACTTCTGGTGTCTAGGCTTGAGCAACCTGGCAGTATCCCAGCCATCGTGTCTCCTTCGTGTGGCATGGCAGCTAGGCAACGAAAATGTGTTAAAGCTGAACATGCCCGCCTACTCTGGGTGTCCGGTGCGTACTCAAAAAATCAAAGGTGCAAATCGGAACACACCGGAAATGAGTGAACTCACGTGATCGATTGTGTCCACAGGTTCGGGTGCGTGCCTCGAAGCGCTGGCAGTAGGGGCAATCACGACTCGGAGTGGGCCATCCAGGAAGGTTGGTTGGGGCTGGACGTTGAAAGGTAGAGTGGAAGTACGGTCGGTTAGGGCGCAATGGCATGGGATGGTATGGTCGTCCTCGGGCTGGTGTCCAATGTCTGCTTTGTTGTTGTTGTCGAATGTCTTCCACCTGGTTCGCTACTTGGAGTGCCGCTACAACCGAGTGAGGAGGATCACCCAAGAACCGCTCGCGGAGTTTAGGCGCTGGGGTACCGACGATGATCTGTTCAAGTGCATTTTCTTCTCGCTGTCCGTTGTGTAAATCAGGAAACGCGTCTTCACTTATCCGCCGCAGTTCTCGGACAATAATCGACAGTCTTTCACCAGACAGTTGGATCCGTGACTGGAACCGATATTGATGTTCGACTGGGTGGATCCGCTCTGTCAGGCATGCGCGAAGCCGTTCAAAGACATCTTCCGTGACCCCATCTTTCAAGATATGTTCATCTCGCACTATATCCCGAGCTTCTCCATCCAATAAGGAAAGCAGCACACGCTTTCGTTCACTGGCAGGAAACAGCTGGATGTATTCTGATGTGTCCGCCGCCCAGCGGCGAAAATTGTCACCCAGGCAGAACTTATCTGGGGGTGGGATATTGGGGGGAGATCGAGTGTGGATGAATCCGGCGCTAATAACCGAAGACAGAAGTGGGAAAAACGATTATAACATTCTGTAGCACAAGGACCAAAATGAACCGCCGGATGCGACAGGTTCTTCTTCAGTTTTTCCGTGTGATCGGGTATGCATCGTTGTTACGCATCCGGGTGTGGTCGCCAATTATTTATCGAGCGGATAAACAACACGGAAAGGCAAATGCTTTGTCCCCCCGACCAATCCGCGATCATGGCGATTGTTCATCATGCTCAGTCTCTTACGTCCTGTCGATGGCCTTACACGCACCGGAAATTGAGGAGTGGGCCACAGTTCAATCCTCAGACCCCGAGTTTAAACTCATATATGAGCGGCTTTTCCACAGCCAACACCGGCCATCCAATGACCAAATCGCGGGTTCGAGCTATCCGACGCGCTGGCTTTGGGCTCTTTGGTCTCAGCTGCGTGTGACTGATGGTGTCCTTTACTACCAAAAGGGTCCCACTTACTTGCGCCGTATTGTGGTACCAAGCAGTGCAGTCGAAGCAGTTTTGAAGCGCCTTCATGAAGAATTAGGTACCGCTAACTCTAGATCAAACATCGATTCACCAGCCCATGCTGGTCGTTGATAACTTACCCTGTGACGTCATACAAGTAAACTTCCTGAAAAGTCAACGGGCGAGGATCGACCTCCTAGCAGGTACCATCGAGTTAGAAGGGAACCAAATACCCCTAGTCACGACTGCTTACTCCGCCGCTATGTCGATCGACGTAGACGCACTGCTGTCGCGACTGTCACCTACAATGAGCTCGTCGACGAAGGCAGAACTAGGAAGTGTTCTGTCGGAGTACACCGATGTTTTCGCTTGGAAGGATTCTGATGTTGGTCGAACGAAACAGGTACAACATTGTGCCGACACTGGAGATGCTACTCCCATCCGCCTACCACCACGACGTGTCCCGATTCAGTATCAACACCAGCTAAATCAAATGATCGATGACATGCTGAGCAAGGATATCATCAAACCTTCCGCGGAACCAGACACTCCCCTGAATCCCCACGTATTCAGAGGCTCGGAGAATAAACCGTTGAACCTACGCTCTTGTGCCTCTGTGTGGACAGTTGGCGAGAGTTACTAACTTACTGTTACATCCAACTAATGTGTCACATTCTCCTTTTCAGCCCACCCGGCTGCTATTTTCAGAACATCCACACAATGAGTTTGGATATTTTTATACACGCAGACATATTAGAATACTACATAGCCAAATAGCACGCCAACTGGACGGATGCGTCTTGTGCGGGCCACGGACCAAACGAAGGCCGGACGAACGGACCAAAATGCCGGCCAATCGGGATCGAGCATCCTTAACTGAACACTTCTCGCCCCCTCACGTAGATCCTAGCACGACTTTGTGAAGCATTCTGCTATAACTCCATAAATATAGTTATAATAATCTTCCTTTTTCTTCATAAAGGACTTTCTGAGACCACCATGCCTTATGACGCACCATGGTGGGCGGAGCAGGAAACCAAGGACCGTCAGGGTTGAACAACCGTTCAGACACAACAGTCATCACCACCATCATCGCTGACAGCAACGCGCTATTTCCAGAAAATCCTCATTTGGTGCTTTGCTGAACCTTTTAAATGCCACAGGTATCGCAATTTGGCAAAGCGCGGCCCGAGCCTCAGAGGCATATGCAGTCAAACCTGACAGTCAAACAACAACAACTCCAAGATAGTGAAAATACCCCACAACTTCAGGTGCCTCTCCTTGGGTTGAAAGTAGCGTGCTCGGTGAATGAACGTCCAGGAGCACGACCTAACACCTTGTGGGTGCAGAGAGCGTACCAAAGTGCCGCATGATTTTCATCAGTGCATCCAAAACTACCTGCGCCTTCTAACTTTCGAAGACGAGAATCACATCATCTGCGAATTTCGGACAGAAGAAATTTTTTCCAGAAACCACTTGGTTATCATGGTTTTGAAGGGCTTCCAGTGTTCGTCCCATCAGGCTGTCCATTTCGGAATTAATTAGGAGTAGAGAGTGGGCACCCCTGACGGATAACACTGTCTATAGAAGCTTTCGGAGAGCTCTTGGTATACTGTCCCACCTGCTGAAATTCACAAACACAAAGAGTTCATCATGTTCCTAAACCGGTCAGTATAGTCGAATGAGCCTTGCAACTCCCTGGAAATCCCAAAATTATGGGCCCTTTATAAGTATGGCGTTGCGGAGTGTGAAGATTTCATCTACGAAACTCAAACCAAGCAAGAACCCGGTTGTTGCCCTCGAGTCAGTATTTTACGAACAACTATTAGGCGACGAAAACTCGAGACCAAAGTGGCACAGCGGATTCACTCGTGATTGCCACAATAAATAAGGGCTTCTTTTTCCAAAACGGGCAATATAATTAGTCGCCCAACTCTCTGGAAATAAGGGCTTCTTTTTCCAAAACGGGCAATATAATTAGTCGCCCAAACTCTCTGGGACAGACTCCTTTTCTCAAATGCAGGCAAACTCACCAAAAAAGCACTGAATGAGAGCCTCGTTCCCACGCTCGAAAAATCCCAGTGGGAGACCATTTGCACCAGGAGCTCGGTGGCGTTTGAGAAAACATATGCGATCATAAAACACGGTCCACAAGATGGTTCCAGATTCACCTATCACGGCTGGGTACTGCCAGATAGCCCACGCCTAGCCGGAGAAGTTGAGAGACAACGGTTGGGTCTTAACTACGGACCTTCTGGTCAGCAAATTCGAGCAGAGCCCGGTTTCTAACCAGAAACCTTCCGGTACATGAGTTAGCGCCTAAATCTCTGAGCTATCTCAAGCCCAGTTTTCCCGAGGAACCGCAAAAGGGCGACTATCAGCAAAGAAAGATCCTTCCACTTGGGGACTTAAGACGATACGAACCACCAACACAGTGGCCTCTGGATCGCCAGAGGTGCACGTACGAAAGAAAGTAGATAGCGATGGGGCAGTTTGCTTATTCGTTGTACTTGCATCTTGAAAATTTGTTTCCGATATACAACGCACATCAATGTCAAGGAAGTCCAGTGCAAGGGCGAGTGTAGCCTATTGCCCCTCTCCTCCAAAGCTCGACCAGTAAGGGTAGACAACCAGATTTGGGACAGAGACTTAAAGAGTGATTTCTGGCTGTCTGAGGCTGTCAGCGCCAGATACTACTCAAGTGTTGCAGCCAAAACTGTTGCAAGACGAACGGATGGTCGGTCCCAAAGAAAGGCCATACAGAGGGTCATTATTGGGGGAAGACGAAACGCACAACGAGGGTGAAGAAAGGTGTCAGTAGTAGCCCGTTATTGCTTATCCGCGCTGTTGTATACAGCAAAGTGACTGACCTGATGAGACCACGCGACGGGCAATGCGGTATGGAGGTAATGCTATTTGTACGCACCGTGGTTGTACGTAGACAGGGCATAATTAGGGCCCCTGGACCTAGACAAGAGGATGGTTTGTGTCCGACTCAAGGGCCACAAGATAAGACAGTGATTAGGAAAGCACTACATTCATATCATTAACTTCCGCTAAGTGAGGTGCTTTACAGGTTCTCCAGCCACGCGCAAACAGGATCACAAAGTCACAACAAAATCAACAGCGTGGGCAACTCTCCTGAGATCTGTTCGAGGGTGGGTGCACTTCAGAAGTTATTCTACACACCTTATCAGAATAAGAGGACCGGAGATTTCCATTTATCGCGGCGCTAGTCTCCAGCTTGGTAAGATGCTGGCATTTGGTGGCCATTTTTCGAAGTGCGAACTGCGGCCCCTTCTTAGTTCGATTCAGAAACTGGGTATGAATCCTGTAGCGTCCGAAGACCAAAAATGAAGATGTATTGCTTGAACATGTCGCTGATCACTGAAGTATTATTAGTGTTCTCTTTTATTAAAACAAAAACCCAAAACATGTCGCTGATCACTGAAGTATTATTAGTGTTCTCTTTTATTAACAACAAAAACCACTCGATAAATTAGAAGGAAAGAGACAACAACAAAGTCTGTGTTTCAAGGGCGTGACTTTACAACAACTAGGCGCACCTTAATCAAGTCAAATAAAATACGAAAAATAAAAAGGTTCAAACAGAGGACATATCGTTCTGAGTGTAAGTTGCAACAGTTCTTCCGAGTTCGTTTAGGTGCAGGCAGATTTACTACTATAGTTCTTGGTTGTCCGCAGTTTTTTGGTGTGTTGAACCGGTCTGTGTTCTGACGCGCGCGTGATACGTGTGGGTGTGTGTGCGGTCGACCGTGTTCTGTATATATATATATATCGTTGCAATGAGTGGAAAGTGAAAATAACGATGTAAGATCACCTGGCGTCCTTCAAAATGTCATTGAACGGGAGTTGACATGTTGTCGTATTCATATCACGGTGTTGATGCTTGATTGTGAGACAGACAAAACAGAATAGGGGTAGTGGGCGCCAGCGTGAAATTGATTACGGGAATAATTAAGAAGAAGGGTAACTGTTACAAATACTCCCCCTTTAGTGGGGAAGCATATAGGTGCTGTCATCAGTCGAGGTTGCAAACAAGTCATGTTTTTTCTCGTGATGCACGTTGTGGGGTGTGGAGCTAGAACAAGCAAGAAGACAGTGGAAGTGGATGCATTAATCAGATTGGACAACCGCTACAGTATTCGTGTCCGTTTTCTACCACATTAGCATAGGTGACCATTCTTATCCATTATCTGGTAAACGGTTGCCTGACCGCTTTCTACTTGTCTACTGCCACCGCTCACATTAACCCTTTCTTTCGTTCAATGGAGACAGTATATCAGGATTATTTTGGTAAGCTTAAAAGTAGTGTCCGCTCCAACTAGTCCAACAGCTAGCCTCCCTACTAGCCACCTCGAAGACAAATCCTAAACTTCACAAAACCAGACGCCTACTCTGACCCAACCAGCACTTCGTTTCTAGATCAGCCAACAAATCCACATTTCCTGGGTCCATTAAGCTTGCAGTCATCCTCTTTTATACTGTTTTTATTGACACCGTTGTACCTTATGCGTCCTGCCACTCGCCAGACGCAGCTGCTCCCACTTTATTCCTTCCTCATTTCTCCATTTTTCAAGCTTCAGACTTCGGCTACAGTTGCCCAAACGCCCTGTAGAACCGCCGTTCATTCAATCTGGCTGGTTTCCGGTCCTCCAACGGTAGGGATATTATCCGTGACCATGCATCCACCTGACTTTCTGTGTCACTCTCCTCGTCCAACCTAGATCCAGCTGTCACGGAAATGCGTATTCCCTCTCCGATCGCAGCACCCTTGACGACCGTTACGCGGCTGTCCGCAAACCGAAGCATGTCAGTGCACTGATGGCAATGCACTGCCATACCCAGTGTAATGGCACTCCCGCAACTATTTTTTCAGGATCTCGACTGCAACCTCTCGGCCACTGAAGCCGGTAGTAAATTTTCCGTCTGGTCCCAACCGTCTGTGGGGCGAGTTCATTCTAACCCGACTGTTACAGACGAACAGTATCTTCGAGTGACGCATAATAACAGAACCTCCGGGTAGGCAAAACAAAGTCGGAGCTGTGTTTCTATACGGTACTATTAAGGTAAGAGTAATCCACAAATTATACAAACCTCGTCAGTAGATACGCCTCCAAGACAAACCGCCGGCTTGGACTACAAAATTAAAAAGCAAGGGGGCAAACAGGGTCCCACGTGCGACAGTCACACGTGCAATGTCAGATATAAATGGTCGGATGAACTCAAGGCCAAATGGGTGGAGTGGTAAGAACAAATAAACGTCAGTTCTTATATACACATTAACACAAAAGTGGTGGGGGGGTACGGATGGGGACAGAATAAACGTGGGGAATTTCAGCCGCAGGCTATTGACACACCCAAATTGAGTTCGCCGAAACTATAGGGTTTTCGAAGTTGCTATTTTAATGAGGAGTTAGTCTAATCAATTTGCACCCTCCTGTGACATGTGGCACGTAGCATTTTGTTTAAGTGAGCGAAATGTCAAGGTCATTGACCATCGCCGATTTGGATTTTTTTCCGGTTTACGCGACAGAAAACACGAAATCGCACTTCAGCATATTTTTGCGTTCTTCGGTGTTCCTGAAGAATAAAAATAACATCATAAGAGTACTTAATGCA